TCCCTCCCTCCTTCCCTCCCTCCCTCCCTCCCTCCCTCCCTCCCTCCCTCCTTCCTTCCTTCCTTCCTTCCTTCCTTTCTTCCTCCCTTCCTTCCTTCCCTCCTTCCCTCCTTCTTCCTTCCTGCCTGCATGCCTGTGTGTCTGTGTGTCTGACTGGCTGCCTTCTTCACCCTCCCCTTTTTTCTTTTTGCTCTAGTGTTGCTAGGGATCAGAGGGAGGATCACCTGTATGTTCACCTTTTACTTAAAATATTTTTTCAGCCTTATTTCTAAAATTTTAAAAAGTTCCATATTGTCACCAACAGTCCCAATCCTAATTGCTGTTTCTACTAACAGTGTATAAGTTTTTTTTTTCATTCATCAACAATTTTTTATGTTCTTACCTAGCAGACATTTTAATAAGAATCAGTTAACATTCTATTGCAGTTTTAACTCGCTTTCCTGTGTGTGTGTATGTGTGTGTGTGTGTATTTTTTAGTCATTTGTATGCATAACTTTTAATAATTTGTTTATTTTTATTTTTTGAGAATTTCACACTTGAGTACTGTATTTACATTGCTACACCTCTATTTACCCTTCTCTACCTCTTCCAGTGATTCACCACTCCCACATCCCCCAAAAGTTCATGACTTTTTTCTTTAAGCACATCTCTATAATTACTTAATATGTACAATAATATTGAATAGATAATAAATTATTCAAAAGCTACTAAGCCCATTTAGTGTTGTTCATATATACATGTGTGTAGCGATGACCACTTGAGATCAAATAACCTATCGTAACTTCATTTCTGGTGAAAACAGATTCTTCCTCTCTCAGAGAAAGGAAAGACTGATTTTTGTAGCTATTATTCTTGTTGTGGGGACCTGTTGAAATTTTCCCCTTATTCTTGCGTACCAGAAAGTTGTGGTCATTATGTAGCTCTTGTTTATATAAATAGGTTATTGAAATTTCATAGTATTAGCAAACCTTTAATATATTGAAGCTTTCTTCTTGGTCCTCTGGCTTTTACAGTATTGCTTCCCATTATCTCTGATGTTCTCTGAGTTTTACATATAGGGGTTTCATTGTATATGTCCCAAATGTGGCTGGACACTCAATGGATATTTATTATCAGCATTTTTTATCACTTGTGGATTGCTGTAGTAGCCTCCATTTGCAAGCCAAAAAAAAAAAAAAAAAAAACAGGAAGCTCCTATAAAGAGGGTGGAGAGCTTCACTTCTTAGCTACAAGGGTTAAATAATTTTTTAAAATATAGTTAGAAACAGTAATGATTTATGAAATTGGCAAAGGTAGGTTTTTCATTAGGGTCCATACCCCTCCAGCCATAGGCAGTTGGATATTTTTATAATCCTAGAAATGGATTTTTACTTAGTGAGTGGCCAAGTAGACAGCTGTTAGTTATCTGCAAGGTAAAAGTGCCACTATTGCACCACGTGGGATGTCTTGTCAGGCTGACCACTGTGGGTCATAGGCTTTACAGATGGGTAGAACTACTGATTGCTTTTATCTCTTGGCAGTTGGAACAGGGCCTTTGGATAATATGAGAACTGGTTTTCTGGTAGGGGTTCAGTGTGGTGATGCATTGTGTACCTTAATAAAACTTGTCTGAACATCAGAGAGACAAAGGAACAAGCCACAGCCACCGCCTCTATCCTCATTAACTCCTCAGTCAGAAAAGACTTTCTAGACGAAAGGCCTCTAGCCAAAAGGGGCTCCTCAAACGAAAAGCCTTAGTACCTGTCTCCTCACACCTTATATACCTTTCTCTGCTTACTGTATTACTTACTTCCTAGTGATGGGATCGAAGGCATGTGACTTCCCCCATACTGGGATTAAAGGTGTGAGATTAAAAGTGAGTGTCACCACTGCCTGGTTCTGTTTCTATCCTAGACTAAGTCAATCTCATGTAGCCCAGGGTGGCTTTGAACTCACAGAGATGCAGAGGGATCTCTGCCTCCCAAGTGCTAGGATTAAAGGCGTGTGCCACCATTGCCTGGCCTCTATGTTTAATCTAGTGGCTTGTTCTGTCCTCTGATCTTCAGGTAAATTTTATTGGGCTACACAATATATATCACCACATTTCAGTGGCAGTTCCGTTTATCTCCTGAAGAAGTTGTAGATGTCCTTCTCTAAAATTCTTAGTGTTACCTTAATGCTCTCGGAGGCATCCTCAGTAATAACAATAGACTTTATTGTTTAGAGAATAATTTGAATATCTGCTCTTATTCCTTGTTCTCCTTCTCTGTTCTTGATCCAGCTGGGATCTCCCACTCCCCTAAGCTCTCTTTCCCTCGACCCTTGCCCTTCATTACCCCACTCACATCCAGATTGTTCATATAAATCTCATCCATTTCTCTGTCATTGGGTGATCCCTGTGAATATCCCCTGCTCAAAAACTCAAGGCAAAGTTTCCCTTGCCTGGCATTGGGCTTACTTTAGAGAGTTTCTTTGAGATACTTGTAGTATTTAGAATGTTGCAATTTTCTTGACTTTGTGATCTACCCTTAGCATTAACCTTCTGTCAGATGAACAACTAGAAACTACTGTCTACCTACCACTCTGTATGTTGTCTGTTCCCTCAACTGATTGCTTTGCTGTGCAGAAGCTTTTTAGTTGGAGGTAATCTCAGTTGTCTGTTTTCGATGCCTTTACTTGTATGCCACATCCAATATGTTCATGAGTTACCTTTCTAAACTTGTATACATGAAGAAGTTTCTGGTTCAGCCGTACTGCATTTCACCAAGGAGAGCATCATTGATTCAGCAAAATATCGACTTTACTACACATCATTTGTTTGTCTCAGAAGAATCACTCCTTAAGGAAAAACAATGAAAGATTCAAAACAAATATTTACTAATGCACATCACTTTGTGACAGAAGAGGAGAGATGGGCATTTCAGGAAAGTCAGACTCAGATCATCCTATTCGTCTCTCTATTGCAGTGTCCCCAGATGACCAAAGAATGTGTGAGGATATGATGAAATATCCTTTTAGACATTACCTTTTAAATTTGTCCTACCAGCTGAAGCTGGAACTCTCTTTAAAAATCATTGCCCTCAAATTTAAATAGCACATGGCATAAACTGCTAATGACATATTGAGAAGCATGTTGAAAAATTTTAGAAGAGTATTTATTTTGGAACTGCCATTTGAGCAAATCTACTCAACTATGAGTTGGAGATTCAACTCAAAAGACTTTTGCAAAGAGGAAACAAAAAATGGTTTTAAAACCTTTTGGATATGCAAAGTTTTGTAAAGACAGCTATGTATAAGCATTATTTCCGTATAGCATGACATAGTATGTGTTTTCAGTAAATAGTTACATATACAAGAAGAGGTAAAGCATGCCTTTATTAAATTGGCCAAAGTATACCAATTATGTATTCAATTTTTTTTTTCTGAAAGGCCGATATCCTGTTGATTAGAATTATATACAACAAACTAAGCTGTTGGTCTTCTTGAAGTGTTGTACCTACCCAATTGGGTACTATAGATCACGTTATCATTCTAATCATTTTAATGTTTGTTAAATGCCACAAGAAAGAGTCTACATGCCAAGAATTCAAAGCTAACAGAACTTCTGCAGAGGAGGAGGGTTGAATGGAACAAGAGTGAAATTTGAAAATTAACTGAATAACAATAATATTCAACGGAAGAGAATTTTTAAAGGAATAGTTTAATATGAACAAAGCTTTCTTAATAGTACCTTATATTATGAACAGATAGACAGAGGTAAAAATAAAATTGAAAGTGGAGAATAGAACAGGTTTAGGTACCTAGGTCTTAGAACAATTTAATGTATCTCAATGCAGTCCTTTGATGAACAATACTTTTGATGAATACTTTATGAGAAAATGTTATGCTTACCAAATACTGACACTTGGAACACAAATATTAAGTATTCCTCACCATAATCAAGTTTATTCATATAAATTTGAAAATTTGAATTTTTCCTAACAATGTATTATTTTTTCCATGGTCAAAATAAGCATAAAGATTTGATAGGATTACAGGTGAACAGGGCAGGGATACTTAATGTAAAGAAAGTTCAGTGAAAAAAAAACTATGCAATAGCTCATATATTTAAATATAAATTTAACAGCTTAAAACTTAATGGTTTATTTAGTATTCATCATTAACAATAATTATCTGTGACATTTACTAATACTTTTTTATTTAAGTGATTTTTTTTCTATTCTTGGTATATGGGATCGTCATTTTCTTCTCTACATAATAATATTTTATACTCTTATATTAGGTAACCAACTTCTACAGATATAATGACACACACTTAAACTCTCCTTTCAACAACAGCATAATTATCAACTTGAAGTGGCCTATACAGGATTAAATATTTAGAGGAAAAGCCTACTTGACTTATTGACTGACAATTTGGTTAAAGGGATTTTCAAATTTACTTAACTCAACATACTTCTCTTTCAAATGAGCAAAGGAAATCACACAATATAGGATCATTTCCATCATATTTTTACAGTGCTAATATGTTCATAGCTATAGTAAACTGTAATTCTATTTTTCTTTATTCACTTCCAGTCATTTTAATAAAATTTTCTTGAGTAGCTTTTGTATGTCAAGAATTTTTACAGTTTGGATGGCATAACATTAAATTGACATTTTCTGATATTTTTTAGTTCTGAAACACATAGATCAATAATAAATGTATAAACTCTTAAATATAGATACAATTCAAATGAGGAAAGCAAATCACTCTAATATCAAAAATTATGATGAGAGCATGAATTTGAGAGGCTTCCTTTAAAAAGTAGAATATACCTTCCTATTACCAACTTTAGTTGAAGACAATTACCAAGAAACGATTATCTTGTGAAGACATGGGTGAGAAATATCCCAATGTAGAAAGAATAAGTTTCAGGGAACTGAGATAAGAAATAGCCTATCCTGTTTAAGGAACATAATGTAGGTGAATTTATCCCAATTATATGAAGCAAGGTTTGTGAAAGTGCAGAGTCATACTCATGGAGAAACTTTCAGAGTTCAGACTTCACTCTGAAAGTTCCCATGGCTGTTGTCTGAAGATTAGTTTGCAGGTAACATAGGCCAAAGCCAAAACAGTTAGAAGGATGCTGTTTATTGTTTCACATTTAACAGGATAAACTATTTTAAAGTCGTATTTATTCATTATATGTGTGAGTGTTTTGCCTGCATGTGTGAATGCACACTATCTCCAGGCTTCAAGTTTACACAGGTCAGAGGAGTCATTGGTTCCATTGGAACTAGAGTTACAGATGGCTTTGAACTGCTATGTGGGTGCTGGGGACTGAATTCAGGTACTGTACAAGAGCATGTAATTGCAGCTGAGATATCTTTCCAGCCCCAATGGACTATATTAAAAACAGAAATAATTGCAAAATTAAATAATAAAGGTATGAAAAACCATGGCAATATTAGTATAGGATTTCTCTCATTTTCCACACCCAGTTTTAGATATCATTTAATCCATTTTCCTTTTGTCTTTCTGCCATGTTTCTTCCTAACCATATTCTAATGATCACTTCAAAAACCATGAATTGCTGTGAAAGAGGAAAATGCTACTGAACTTATCATTCAGAAGGCAAGGCTGTTCAACAACTTTATAAGTATGGGTGACTATGACCATATTCTAGAATGAAAAAAAATAATATATAGCCCCCGCCCCCCAAGCCAATTAAAAAAATTTTTTTTTTTTTTGCAGGGAAATCAGAGACCTTAGGATCCAGACTCAGGATCTCTGGGCTGCGCGGGACTATTCAGAACCCATAAGTTGTTGTCAGATGCATCACAGCCCCTGGAAAGCCAGAACTTTTCTCCAGTGGTTTGCGATGCAGTGATTACATCTAATGGTTCATTGACTGACAAATACAAATATATCCAGAAACTCCGAGAAAGCAGAGAACGTGTTCAGTCCCTTTCAATGAGTCCCAAGAAGAAAGTGTTGGTGCTTGGGTCTGGCTATGTATCTGGGCCTGTTTTAGAATATCTGTCAAGAGACAACAACATAGAAATAACAGTAGGCTCTGACATGGTGAACCAAATGCAACAGTTAAGCAAGAAATACAATATTAACCCTGTTAGTGTGAATGTTGCTAAACAAGAAGAGAAGCTGCAATCCTTGGTAGCGTCTCAGGATCTTGTTATCAGCTTGTTGCCTTATGTGTTGCATCCTGTTGTGGCCAAGGCATGCATCTCAAACAGAGTCAACATGATCACTGCGAGCTACATCACACCAGCCATGAAAGAACTGGAGAAGAGTGTGGATGACGCTGGCATCACAGTCATTGGTGAATTGGGATTAGATCCTGGTCTTGATCACATGTTGGCAATGGAAACAATTGATAAGGCCAAAGAGCTGGGAGCCACGATTGAGTCTTATGTTTCCTACTGTGGTGGCCTTCCAGCCCCTGAATATTCAGACAATCCCTTGCGATATAAATTCAGCTGGAGTCCAGTGGGAGTCTTGATGAACATAATGCAGCCTGCTAGCTATCTGCTCAACGGAAAGGTTGTGAATGTGACAGGGGGAGTCTCTTTTCTCGACTCTGTCACATCCATGGATTACTTCCCAGGCCTGAATTTGGAAGGGTATCCTAACAGAGATAGTACACGATATGCTGAAATTTATGGGATTCCATCTGCCCACACGTTGTTGAGGGGTACACTGAGATATAAGGGATATTCTAAAGCTTTGAATGGATTTGTAAAGTTGGGTCTCATCAACAGAGAAGCATATCCTGCCCTCCTACCTGAGTCCAACCCTCTCACCTGGAAACAGCTCCTGTGTGACCTAGTTGGAATTTCCCACTCCTCTTCGTGTGAGAAGCTTAAGGAAGTTGTCTTTACAAAGCTGGGAGGGGACAGTACCCAGCTTGAGGCTGCTGAATGGTTGGGCTTATTGGGGGATGAGCAGGTCCCTCAGGCAGAGTCTATTGTGGATGCATTCTCCAAGCACTTGGTCTCAAAACTCTCCTATGGCCCTGAAGAAAAAGATATGATTGTGATGAGAGACAGCTTTGGCATCAGGCATCCCTCTGGACATTTAGAAAATAAGATCATTGATCTTGTGGTTTATGGAGACTTCAATGGCTTTTCAGCAATGGCTAAAACTGTGGGGTTACCGACAGCCATGGCAGCTAAAATGTTGCTGGATGGTGAAATTGAAGCCAAAGGCCTAATGGGGCCATTTACAAAGGAGATCTATGGGCCAATATTGGAGCGGATTAAAGCAGAAGGCATTGTATTTAATACACAGAGCACAATCAAGCCATAAATGGGAATTCATTTTTTTAGGCATCAAAGCTGTCAATTTGTGTATGACAAACATGGTTATCAATTTGCTAAAGCATGAAGTTTTGTGTTTTGAGCATAACTCATTTAAAACATGAAGCATATGTTTTGAGTAAGTTAATGCAATGGTGTTTTTAAAACTCAAATCTCTATTTTAGTAAAACTTTTGGAGTAGAAGATGCCAGTCATTACAGAGACCTTTAATAAATCTATTGTGTATTTTTGTGTATATAAAAGTGATGATGATCATAGTTTAATTTATTGTGCTTCTTTTTTCTTATAAGAACATATCAGCAAATGCAGTTCTACTATTTTTTTGCCAGAAAAAATTGCATGTAGTTATATTTTTGTATTTTTCAAATTGATTCTGCTAGACACCTTTTTATTTTATTTTTATTTTGCAGTACAATTCAGTTCTGCATATCAGCCACGGATTCCCTTGTTCTCCCCCCTCCGGCCCCCCTCACCTTCCCCCCAGCCCACCCCCCATTCCCACCTCCTCCAGGGCAAAGCCTCCCCCGAGGACTGAGATCAACCTGGTAGACTCAGTCCAGGTAGGTCCGGTCCCCTCCTCCCAGACCGAGCCAAGCGACCCTGCATAGGTCCCAGGTTTCGGGCAGCTAACTCATGCAAAGAGCACAGGACCCGGTCCCACTGCTTGGGTGCCTCCCAAACAGATCAAGCCAATCAACTGTCTCACCCATTCAGAGGGCCTGATCCAGTTGGTGACCGCTCAGCCATTGGTTCATAGCTCATGTGTTTCCATTTGTTTGGCTATGTGTCCCTGTGCTTTATCCAACCTTGGTCTCAACAATTCTCGCTCATATAAACCCTCCTCATTCTCACTAATTGGACTCCCAGAGCTCCACCCAGGGCCTCTGCTAGACACTAGACACCTATAGACTGACATATCTACAATTGCAAAAGTAATGTTTCATGCCTTTTGTAAAGTTATGATCTATTTAGTAAAATTTTTTTGAAAATTATTTTCTCTTGAATTTTTAGAAAAGAGAATTGATACAATAAATTCACAGTCCTCATTATCCTTTTATTACAAGCAGAGAAAGTGTTTGAAAAACTCTAGCACCCTTTCACGATAAAAACAAAACAGAAAAACCCACCACAAAACACATAACAAACTAAGAATAGAAAGGGATGTCCTTATAAAAGATAGCTTTGAAAAACCCACAACTTGTATCATATTTAATGGCAAAATACTGATTGATTTTCACCTAACACCACAAGTAAGACAGGAATGTTGTCACTTGGCCACAGTGATTCAATCTGTTTTGAGGGATTAGGCCATGGCAATTAGGCAACAAAATAAGATAAAAAAAAATCTATTTGAAAGGAAGAAAATGAACTCTATTTGCATAGAATCTCCAAGAACTGCATAGGAAATCCAAAGACATAGTGAAAAGAATACAAAAGAAAATATCTGAATTTATCAATTCGGAAAAATTGCAGAATCAGGAATAACTTACAGCATTTGCCTTTCTGTAAAGTAGGAATCAGTGAACCAAAAGTGGCTTTAGAAAAACAATGTCAACAGCATCAAAAAGGAAAAAAGTAATAAGATTGAGAGGTTAGAAGGGACACTCATATTTGTTCCATTGCCTTTTAAAAAGTGTGCTAAGACAATTCAGTGAAGAGTGCTGTGGGATGTTCTGTATGGCAAATGTGTTGCTGATTGGTCAATAAATAAATCACTGATTGGCCAGTGGCCAGGCAGGAAGTATAGGCGGGACAAGAAGGAGAATAAAGCTGGGAAGTGGAAGGCTGAGTCAGAGAGACACTGCCAGTCGCCATGATGAGAAACAGCATGTGAAGATGCCGGTAAGTCACGAGCCATGTGGCAAGAAAGCCAAAGGCTATGGATTTGTTCCAGGTTAAGATACATCATATTTGACCAGCCAAGACCCCCTGAAAGGTCTCCGATGACACCAAGGCCCAGATGATCCAACATCCAGAATGGTTTGAAGGCAACTGGCTCAGACGATACACCCTCATAGACTATTCCATAATCCTAAAATTTTTCTTAGTGTCCCCATAAGATACAGCGCCCCACTCCAGCAGGAAGTAGTAAGAGAAGCTACGCCCAAATTCCCAAATTATATGTAATTTTATTTTGTCAAGGTTAAAACCTTCCTTTTTGAAAAAAAAAATGGGGGAAGTGCTGTGGGATGTTCTGTATGGCAAATGTGTTGCTAATTGGTCAATAAATAAATCACTGATTGGCCAGTGGCCAGGCAGGAAGTATAGGTGGGACAAGAAGGAGAATAAAGCTGGGAAGTGGAAGGCTGAGTCAGAGAGACATTGCCAGCCGCCATGATGACAAACAGCATGTGAAAATGCCGGTAAGCCATGAGCCATGTGGCAAGATATAGATTTATGGAAATGGATTAATTTAAGCTGTAAGAACAGTTAGCAAGAAGCCTGCCACAGCCATACAGTTTGTAACCAAAAATAAAAATAATAATAATAATAATAATAATAATAATAATAATATATACATATATGTATGTATGAAGAATGAAGAATATATATATATATATATATGCACATACATGTATATATATTTAATGAGGAGTGTCTTATGTACCTTAAACTGGCCTAATACTCCTACACAGCAGAGTATTACCAACTGGGTTCTATCCCCAGCTCTAAGATTCTGTGTTTAGTGTATAAAGCATATTTTGTTGGCATCTGTTGTGACTTCTTTGAAGACTTAGCTTAACACACAAATTTGTAATGTAATTTCTCCCAATATTTTTATAACTTTAATGGCTCATGACTGTTTTAGTAGTCTTTATTTTCAATTTATAGCATTTGTTGTGTCTTTAGGGGTATTTTCTTGTGATGTTGCTAAATATAATATACTATGTAAATTCTATCACATTAGTTTTATTTTTATCTTGAAATATCCATTCAGATGAAGGACATAATTTATATTGCTGTGTATTCCTTCTTTTTTATTCAGTACAATACCTCAACCCACTTTATTGTGATATCCATTTTTGACATATATCTTCTTGCCTTACTCAAGAAATACCTTAATAGACATGCTCAGAACTATGTCTTTCAGCTGATATTATATTCAGAATCATTATATAATAGAAAGTGATGTATTGTATAACCCTCACATGAATTCTGAAATTCATCTGTGACTCTTCATCAAAAGAAAGAAAAAACAAGGAAAAAAAAGAGGAATGAGAGTATATTGGGGAAATACTGATCCAAAGCAAGACCTAAACCCAGAAAGAAAAATACCAAATCATGAAACTTCATGTTCTCTGCCTGGGACTTAGTTTTAAAATTTCTTAGATGTTCCTGCACTTCCAGATTTACTTGCTGAGAATGTACAGCTCTTTCTTAGGATGGGTCCATTCTTTGTATAGGACTCTTTTGGATAAATGTTTCATGGCTCTGGCCACAAACACCTTGATGTCTCCCCTGACTCCCTGCTTCATGTTCACAGCTTCACACAACAATCTCTCACAGCTTGCAGGCTCCTTCTGGCCTTCTTAGAGCGACTACAGCTCTACTATATGCTGCCCAGCTTCAAGCAGACTCTCTGAAACAATAAGGCCACGATCCATGACCCCTTCACTCACGAATCTTGCATTTTATCTAAAAGCCAGTACCACGTGGCCTATTCTGCCAGTTTCAACCTGTAGCCTGCAATGGACCCTTACCCTTTGCATCACACTAGAAGATTTTTTTTTTTTACTAAGTTACTTTCTATGTGCAGCAATATATATATATATATATATATATATATATATATATATATATATATATATATATATATATATATATATATATTAGGTACTCATGCGCAAGATGGAAGCTTAGCTGTGTGGGATCTTGAGCTCAGGGAGTCTTTCTTATTGTTCGAGTATACAGCAAGGAAACTTTCTCCTTCACAACTCCATGCCTTGGGTGTAACATTAGGTTGCATTGTGCTTTCTTCTTTTCTTTGAACGATACATTTGATATTTCTTTCTTCCTCGCTTGCTCATTTTCACTGTAGACATGTAAAAGAGCAATTAATAAGAACCAAGCCAGAGACAAAATTGTAGGCTGTCTTTAAATTTCTGGTGAAAGAGAAATTGAGTCCTTATATTTTAATTTACTCTCATGTGAATTTTCAGTAAATTGACAGAAAAGAGCTCGATTCTTTGTCAAACTATAACATGAGCTGCTTCCAGCCTTTTTGGTAAAAGATTTTGCCTGCTTCTGAAACCTCATGTACCCATACTCCACCATCTGCATACTCTCAACCTGACTATCTTTCACATTGCTGCTAGAAAATTCCTTCAATTTTGTTGACATCATCCAGCCCCTTCTCTAGTCCAAAGAATCCCACACTCCTCTAGAAACAATGACTATGATCAATTCTTAACACCAACCCCATCTCTTGATACTAGCTTCTACATTATTTACTTTTCTATTGCTCTGATAGAATGCGAAGGCTGACTCAATTTAAGGATAGGTTTCTACTGGCTTACAGTTCAAGAGGCATTTTCCAGAATGGCAGGGGAGGTGTGATAGCAAGGAGCTACATGAAGCAGAAAGCTGAAAAATCCAATTTCCTTCTTCAGACAGGAAGCATAAAGAACAAATGGGAAGTGAACCAAAGGAACAAAATTTCAAAGTTTGTCCCCAATAACATTTCTTCCAGCAATGTTACACATTTTTTTTTTTTTTGGTTTTTCGAGACAGGGTTTCTCTGTGTAGTTTAGTGCCTTTCCTGGATCTCGCTCTGTAGACCAGGCTGGCCTCGAACTCACAAAGATCAGCCTGCCTCTGCCTCCTGAGTGCTGTGATTAAAGGCGTGCACCACCACCACCTCCTGGCTTACACTTCTTAAAGGTTCAACAACCTTTGAACCAGCATCACCACTTGGGGCCAAGTGTTCAACTACATGAGCCTACAAGGAGCCTTTCCCATTTAACTCACCAAATAAGATAACTAAAAACATGTATATTTTAAAAGAGGTTTGAATATATTTAACCTAGAGTAATGAATAATCCTGTTCCCAAAAGATATTGATTATTCAATGATAATCTCTGTGCTGCCTTCCTATAAATTATTGATTACTAACTCCCCTGAGGTCTCCAAAACAACACACATTATGATATTCGCTCTTTGTTACTCAACACTTCCAAGATAACTGTGACAAAATTTGTAGCCAGATGGTTTCTAAGGTCCAGCCTGGCTCCATGGTCCTGCAGCTGCTTAGAAAATAATCACT